CCCTGCCTGCCATGCGCACTGCCTGTCCCACGGCAGGCAGGGCTGTTACCACAGCCACCTCGGCCCCTCCGGATGGGGAAGAGCCCAAGAGCAGGGAGGCAGAGTGCCACGCGATGTCCACGAGCGGGGAAAGCCAAGCCAGGCGCTGGCATTGTCACAGGGCGAGGCGGGGAGCAGAGATGCACTGTCATTGCCCACAGCTGGGGGTGAGCCGGCAGGCGCCGCAAGGCTCGCAGGTCTCTGCATGGTGCCAGCTGCTCTGCTGGCTCCTGTCACCAGGCCTGTCAGAGCAGGTTTGGGATGAGGACATTGCAAACTCCATCAGAGCAGCGTGTTTCCCTCCTACAGTCCCCCGTGTCTGCATCCGACAGCTGGTAGTGCCCTCCTGGTCTCCCTCCCTGCACTTGACCCTGGTTTCTTCCTTCCTGGGGCGATTTTGCAGCACTGCTTCTGGCTGCAGAAACATTGGAGCAGGAGGAGCGCCCCTCACCCCAGCCGCTCCGCAGGACAGCATTTGCAGCCTTTTTCTTGCAGTTGAGACCCAGCACCGACTGCTCTTTCAGATTTGCAAGTCACCGGCTCCAGCACCTCTTCTCTTGTCTCCACATACGCTTGTGAGTGGAAAGTCCCCATCACATGGCGATGCCATCTGGTAACCTCCAGCGTCAGGGTGTCTGCAGCAGGCAGGGAAACACCGGGAAAGGCTTAAGCAGTGAGGATGCTTATGCACACTGTAGCCAGGCACAGCAAGCAGACCTGTGCTTTAATGTGGTCAGCAGGCAGGGGCTGTGAGCATGGGGATTCATTGCAGAACAAGTACAGTTCTTTGATGTGAGTGGGCCTGCACAGCACGTCCAGCCATGGTGAGCTTGTCGCCATCTCTTACTAAACCCTTCCATCCTCAAAAAGAGCTCTGGGGTGATGGAAGGGCTTCAGTGAGCCCTTCAGCACATGTTGCCATGGGATGCCTGAAACTTCAAACCATTTCTCACAGTCAAGACACATCTATATAACCCGTGGAGAGGGACCATGCTTTGGCATTGGCTTCTTTAACCCATCCTCCTGTAGCAGGAGCTGGTTGCCTGAAATCAGTAGATTCAGACAAAAATAACATGGTTATTTTGGTACATCTTCCAAAAAGCTGTATCTTCTCTGGTACATCTTCCTAAAGCTGTCCTCCTGAGCAGCTGTTGCATCAAAGCCAGCTTGATTTGGTTTTCCTAAAGGCAGTACTCAGTGGAAGCAGACATGAATTCGGGGAACTGTAGGGATTTGCATTCCTCAGGGGGTGAGCTGGATCATTTGATGTGGGAGAGGGGTCAAAGTGGGGACTCTCAGCATGCATCGCTCGTTCTTTTCAGCTGCAGGAACTTCTGTTGCTCTCTCTGGTACCCTAATTTCTGGGGGATTGTGCCCTTAAGCAGTGAGTGTCTGCATCTAAGTCTGTATCTAATGGAAAAGCAGTTTGTGCTAAGGGTTGGGGGGAAGGAGGAAGGGGCTGCAGAGGATGCTGGCCTACGCTCTGCCAGCCGTGGAAGGATTGCCAGTTTGCTCAGTGCCTTGGCAGCTTTTTAACCCTGCTAAATGCATGGTGCGGACCTCACAACATGCCTGAGAACCTGTTCTCCTTCCTACCTTGTGGTCCCTCCTTGCTGACCACCAGACTTCACATTGCAGCCCACTGCTCTGTGGGGATGCTCAGGAAACCAAGGAGGTTGTGTCTTCCCAGCAGGTCAGAATTACCCAACAGCAGTGGTTTCAGAGCACATTTCAGCCACTTCTGTCCTCCTCTTTTCACCAGCCCCATTCCTCTGTCACTGGTGACAGGGTGGACTGACTACTGTGGGGCAGAGCCCACTCAGACTGGTGGGATCTCCTTCTGAACCTGGATTCCTCTAGGAAACAAGCAAAATTGATAAACTGGAAACAGAAGGCAGTTTGATGGGGTTTTTTTACTAATTTCTTTCAGTAAATTAGTGCGTGGCAGTGCTGGTGACACATTGGAGTGCCTGAAGTTACAGATCTTTCCTGGAATATGGTTGTTGGCTATCTTGTATTTAAAGATTTGTGAATAAAAAAGTGACCCAGGTCAGGACTGTGACCTTGGGGTTGAAGTAGATATTCACTCCCTGTGATCTTGCAGCTGCCTGATCTTTAAGGTAATGTTTGCTCAGGCCTTTTTTCCCAGGCAAACACCAAGGAGGATAACTTTTAAATCACTCCCACAAGCATTTTTTTTTTTTTTTTTGAAAAGACAAGGTGAAGATGGAAGTAACTGCCATGCTTTGGGGATCCCCCTGGTCCTAGGTCATTTCAAACTAGAGCAGTTTTCCATCACGTTTTCCCTGTCGATGCTCTTGTCAGTTGTTGTCACTGGTGACGCAGGTATTGCCCCAGGCATCACTCACCTCTTGCACATCTGTATTCAGCTGCTCTGGTTGTGTGGGAGAGGCTGCGTGGTGTTGCCCAGGTTTGCATTACCCTTCGGACAACTGCTGCCATCCTGTACCCCCAGAGAGCTTCCAGCTGAGCACAAGTGTTTGTGTAGCATGAGAAGGCAAAGGAAGGCAGGCTGTAGTGTGAAGTCCAGTATTGCTAAGGAGGTACCCATCTATTTGGCACTCTGTTTGGCACTTGTGAAGCCACAGCTGGATACTGGGACCAATTTGAGACTTTCCAGTATAAGAAAGGGATAGACACCCTGGAGGGACTCCAGCAGGGGCCATCAAGATGGTCGGGGGACAACAGGATGAGTGTCAAGCACTGGGACAAGGACCTGTAGAAGCAGTAGGATCTTCATCCTTAGGGCTACTCAGACTTTGACCGAACAAGAGGTTGGAGCAGAGACCCCCAGAGGTCCCTTCCCACCCCAGCTATCCAAGGGGGCTTCTGCAAACTGCCAGAAGGAAACCAAATCTTTTAACATTTCCCAGTGTTTTGTGATATCAGGTCCAACAGGAAATCCTGCTGTATGTGACAAAGAAACAAGGCCCTTTTGTAAGCTGTGATCTTTGTATCATGGTGTGCTTCCCTGCATCCTCCTGCTGCATTTAAGAGTAACTGAAATCTTCATTTTTAAAAACTGCCACCAGCAAATGGAGAATGTTTTTGGGTGGCGCTGCCAGTTCCCAGTGTGAATTAGGAAATTATTACTTTCCTTTGGAAAACAGAAGTGTCAGATTCAAAACAGACTTGGGTAAATGCATGGTTTTTCATGACTAAAAGAAAGAAACCACAGGAGCCAGTACCAGCTTAGAGCTTGTTTCTGTGATGCAGGGCAAGGAAATGTCCTCCTTTCTCTTCCCTACTGCACAGGTCCTTTGCACCAAGCAGATATTTTTCCTTCATTAATTGAGAAGTTTGTCTGATCTCTTTGTTTCCCCTTTGTAGGCCATGAACCCGGACTTGTGCAGCTGGTGAATTACTACAGGGGAGCAGACAAGCTGTGCCGCAAAGCATCTCTGGTGAAGTAAGAAATTCACTGAAATGTTATATGGGATTGGCAGAAATTTTTCTTCTAACGGTTGTTGAGTGTTGAACCTGTTTGGAGGGTATTTTACAGAACAGCTGCCTTGGGAGTGTCCTAGCATATGCTGTCTTCAGACTTCCGTGCTGGTCTCTAGAGTTATCTGTGTGCACAAAGACTTTTTTGTAACTTCAGGGGAAATGCTCTTTCCACTGAATTACATCTGCTTGAAACCAGAGAGTGTATTGAATCAGATTAGAGCCAAATCAAAAGAAAAAAAAAAAAAACACACACAAATGTATTCGCTCTTTTTCCTTGTAGACATTTAATTAAAACCTACTTCTTTTATTCTGTTTTATACGGAGATGAGGCACTAATACGCCTTTAGCTAATCAGATTTGTTGGTCAAACAAATGCTTGGAGACATCTCCAGGACGAACTCTGGGAGTTATTTCTGCATGACCAGTCATTCCAGGGTCTCCTGGGGAAATGTGGATGAGCTTTCATTGTAGATAACCCTCATTCCTACGCAAACTCTGTGGCCATTAGGGCATCTTCATGTCTTGGTCTTCTTCAAGCATTTTCTTGCATGTTCGTGTCTGTGCTGCCTCTTGCTGATGCAGTCCTGCAGCCTCTGTGTACTGATCTGAAGCTCCTCCTTCCCCTGTGAAGAACCTGGTCCCAGTTACTCTCTTTAAAGTGGTGATGGTGTTTGTCAGGAACTAGCAGAGTATTTTTTAAACAAGCACTCACAGCACTCCCTGGCTGGATTTCTCTGTGGCCCATGGTCTAGATGCAGTGCTGAAAGTGCTTGCACACCTGTGTTTTCTCTCCTGAAGCTTGGCTGACCTTTCTAACTAACCGTGGGGGTCAACCATGCATCAAGCCACTTAGGAACCCAAGGGACCACAAATGACATTCCTCAGGGTCTCAGGGTGTCACTGACTGACTGCCACTTCAACAAGAGAGGCACAAATGCACAGAGAGAGTCAGTGAGTCATGAGCTCTGCTTTTGGCCTTAGGCAAAGCACAGAATGAGCGTTCAGAGAGGCAGGCAGTTCCCTTGACTCTGAAAGAAAATGGGCCTGGGCTCCGCTAACAGGAGTTTGCTAGCATCTCTAGACGTTACTGGTTTGTCCAGGGATTGTTTAGCCTGGAGAAGAGGAGACTGAGGGGAGACCTTAGCACTCTCTACAATGACCTGAAAGGAGGGTGTAGCGAGGTGGAGGTCGGTCTCTTCTCCCAAGTAACAAGCGTTGGGACAAGAGGAAACGGCCTCACGTAGCACCAGGGGAGGTTTAGATTGGATATCAGGAAGAATTTCTTCACAGAAGGTGTTGTCGAGTACTGGAACAGGCTGCCCAGGGAAGTGGTGGAGTCACCATCCCTGAAGGTATTTAAAAGACATGTAGATGTGGTGCTTAGGGACATGGTTTAGTGGTGGACTTGGCAGTGCTAGGTTAACGGTTGGACTCAATGATCTTAAAGGTCCTTTCTAACCTAAACGATTCTATGATTCTATGGTAGGAGAGATATGCCAGAGAGATCGGAGACTGCGTGGTGCAAGGGGAATCCCAGACACCTTGGGTCATGAAACATGTAGCTGTGTCCTTGCTTTCAGTGGGTTCCCGGTGGTCTTCATCTACAACTGGGACACCTGGTCAGATCTCAGCAGGGAGGGAATCAAGAGCTAAGCACCAGCACAGAGAACATAACTGCTCTGGCTTCCCTTTTGGCTGTTGTGGTCACAGCATCCTTCCTGCCCCATTCCATGTTAGCAAACACACCTCCTCAGTTCCCTTGTGCAGAGATGATGCAGGGAATGTACCACAAGCTCTAGTTACGTAGAAACTACTCTACTGATTGTTTCACGGTATCCGTAGTATCTACAAAATGTTTAATGAAAGCCTGCAGGTCTGGTTCAAGGATCAGTGCTTGGCTGCAAGTTGGGGTTGCCATATCATTAGGAAAGCCCTAATTTCAAGGGTCTAAGGAAAATGTAATAATTTAGCACAGACCAAGTGAAAGACCTCAGTTAATGATGATTTTTACTTATTAAATGATGTCCATGCAGGTGGGGACACTGGAGATTAACAGCCTGTCTCTCTTCACCCAGGCTAATCAAGACAAGCCCTGAACTATCGGAGTCCTGCACATGGTTCCCTGAGTCGTATGTGATTTATCCAACAAACTTGAAGACCCCCGTGGCTCCAGCACAGAATGGAATTCGCCATCTCATAAGCAACACAAGGACAGATGAGCGGGAAGTCTTCTTGGCAGCTTACAACAGGCGGCGAGAAGGCAAAGAAGGCAATGTGTGGATCGCCAAGTCCTCAGCTGGTGCTAAAGGTTCATTCTCCAGCAAAATGAGCCACCTTCTCGTTATTCCTTACTCTTGATCGATAGAGTCCCGGGATTTGGCTGAGCCCAGCTGATATGTAGGCTGTCTATGAAGGGTTTTACCAACTCCAGGCCAGTCAAGCCAGCATAGGGCTCTCCTTTGTCTGCTTGGTGGCATGGGGCTCCTGACAAGCATTGTAACGTGCACATGCTACCTAGGACATGGATGGCAGTGAAAGGACCTCCACTTTTCTACACATGCACCTCAAAATAGGGGAAAGTTTGCTGCAGGGAGGAGGCAGCAGGGGATGCAGAGAGCAGGAGATCACAGGGAGCAGAACAGGGTATGAGGAGGAGGGCAGCAGGCAGGACGGCAGCCTTCAAAGGCAAGGAGACCAGCTCCACATGCTGCAGCTAAGCCTGGTTTTACCTAGACAGAAATACTGCTGCTTGTCTTTCAACCGCATCCAGATGCCTGGTGCCACTGGCCTACCCATGGTCACACTGAGGGACTGGCTGAGCGACCATGAGCACAGTGCACCGAAATTACACCCAAGCCTTAGGGGGACATACCAGAGCAAAGACAAGCAGTGCAATGTCTCTATGTCCTTTTAATTTGAATAAGGCAATAGATACCTAAGTGATAATGCGTCCTTCCGTGTTCCAGGGTCATTGCATCGCTCACTCTACAGAAATAATGAGCTATTAGAGGAGATAGTTGGACACAGATATAGATGTAATGCTGTGGTAACTATGTGCTGTCTGTGGTTACGATGGTATCACGGGCACGTTATCAGAATGGCTTTACAAAAACTTGTCTTGCCATGTGTGCAGACCCCAGGCGGCAGAGCCCAGCCAGAGGAAGGACCTGGTCTTTTCAAAGGGAACGAACCCACGGGTATTACTCATATTTGCAGAGTCACTTTTGATGCAGTCTTACAAAAATCACCAGAGAATGCGAAAGCCAGAGGAGGCTGCATGATAAAACTGTCCTTCATACTGGCTTCCTTCACTGCTCTGCTCTCTTGGCTGTGTTACCAAGAAGCAGTAGAAGAGTATGCTTATTTTCATCAGGGAAGAAGGGGAGATGAGTCCTTTCATTATGCCAGTGAGGGAATGTGTTTCTGTGTGAGCAATTGAAAAGGCCGTTGCTGTGGTTCACTGCAGGATGGGGAGGTTTAAACTCTCCACATACTTTATTCAAGTGTAATCCCATCTTTTCTGCATTAAAGCAGAGTAACCTTTCATATTCATCAGTGTGGTGTAGAACTCAAGCTGGAAATTAAAGTGGAAAGCAGAGCCTCATGTTAATCTTCTAGAGGGAAGTTTTAAATGTCTGGGGATTAACTCTGTTGAGGAAGAAAGCTTGTCGACATTAATTGCCAAGGCAGATCCAGCTCAGGCACAGCCCCTGACTCGGGACAGGTCTAATGGAAGCTTGATTGTGCATCAGTAAAAGGAAAATTAAAGGTTTAGGATGTCCTGACTTAGAAGTTGAGAGATTTTTTTTCAACTATGGGTAGAGGTTTTTCTCTTTGAGAGAAGGAACAGCTGCCCCACATAAGCTGCTTTGCTGCCTCCAAGCACAGTTAAGCTAACCTCCCCCTTGATTACCGTCTGTCCAGGGCAGAACGGATGCCTGCTGATCTTCCTGCTGCAGGGGCTTTACTGGCTTACAGAGATGTTCTTTCCTTCCTTTTCCCAGTGCACAGCCTGTGGTTGTACCAATGCAAGTTTCTGCCTGGCTCTGCTGAGATCAGGGGGCTAAAAATCTTGCCCACTGCTTAAACATGAGTGAGAAAGATACTTTGATGAGAGGACTTCATTTTGCTGGAGTATGGTAGGACGGGTAGGGAGTCAGTAGGGCTGGGAAGCTGTGACTTCCACGTATGCAAAGCATGGAGCAGTGAAAGTACCTGCGGGGCTATGTTGACAGAAACCTTCAGAAGTTACAACTAGGAGCATTTTCCATGGGATGATCCTGTCAAATCCTGCCTGTGTTCTTCCCCCGATGCCCCCTTGAAGAGCGTTTGTTTCTTTTCACTCAGTATTTCCTGCAAAACACTCAGCACAAAACTAAGACTAAGTCAGCAGCTTTAGTTCACAAAGTTAACTAAATGCCTGAAGACTGGGCGTTGTGCCAGAGAAGTGGTGTGGCACGGTGCCATACCTTTATCAAATCCCAGAAGGGGTATGTTCTCTCTTCATTGCTCTGCAACAGTGGTTTCTTATCTGGACTCTTGCAAGAAATGAACAGTGACAGCTTCAGCCAAAATGTGGCACTATTTAAATGGCAGATCTGACTTCTTTAATGAAGAGCTTCCACAGCAAGGGAAAACACTGATTAAGTGGATGAACATTTTGAAGTTTTCTTTCCCTAATTCATCCATGATTTTAATAGTAACTTAAATGAACTCAGTGAGCAGGGCAACACTGCGCAAGTGTGCATGCCAGAGAAGCCAGGAATGGGGGAGAAAGACTGAGTCTAGGACAAAAAACCACGAACATCCCTCCCCAAATAAAAAAGAAAAATCTCACAAACTGCCAAATGCCCTGTTCTCCAAACTGCTGAAAAACAGGGA